ACCTGTACACAGGTCAAGAAGCAACAGTTAGAACTGGACATGAAACAACAGACTGGTTCTAAATTGGGAAAGGAGTAGGTCAAGGCTGTATATTGTCACCCTGCTTATTTAACTTATATGCAGAGTACGTCATGTGAAATGCTGGGCTGGATGAAGTACAAGCTGGAATCAAGATTGCCAGGAGACATATCAATAACCTTAGATATGCAGATAACAACACCCTCATGGGAGAAAGTGAAGAGGAACTTAAGAGCCTCTTGATGAAAGTGAAAGTGAAGTCGCTCAGTCCTGTCAGACTCTTTGCAACCCCATGGACTGTAGCCTACCAGAATCCTCTGTCCATGGGATTTCCCAGGCAAGAGTACTGGAGTGGGTTGCCATTTCCTTCTCCAGGGGATCCTCCTGACCCAGGGATTAACCAAGGTCTCCCACATTGCAGGCAGACGCTTTACTGTCTGAGCCAGCAGGGAAGTCCTGATGAAAGTGAAAGGAGAGTGAAAAAGCTGGCTTAAAACTCAACGTTCAAAAAAGTAAGATCGTGACATCTGGTCCCAACACTTCATGGTAAATAGATGGGAAAGCAATGGAAACAGTGACAGACTTCATTTTCTTGGGCTCCAAAATCACTGCAGATGGTGACTGCAGCCTTGAAATTAAAAGGTGCTTGCTCCTTGGAAGAAAAGCTATGACCAACCTAGACAGCATATTAAAAAGCAGAAGCATTACTTTGCCAACAAAGATCTGTCTAGTCAAAGCTATGGTTTTTCCAGTAGTCATGTATAGATGTGAGAGTTGGACCATAAAGAAGGCCTAGCACCAAAGAATTGATGCTTTTCGACTGTGCTGTTTGAGCAAACTCTTGAGAGTCCCTTGGACTGCAAGGAGATCCAACCAGTCCATCCTAAAGGAGATCAGTCCTGAATATTCACTGGAAGGACTCATGCTGAGAATGAAGCTCCAATATTTTGGCTACCTGATGTGAAGAACTGACTCATTTGAAAAGACTCTGACGCCAGGAAAGATTGAAGGCAGTAGGAGAAGGGAATGACAGAGGATGAGATGGTTGGATGGCATCACTGACTCAACTGACATGAGTTTGAATAAGCTCCAAGAGATGGTGAAGGACAGGGAAGCCTGGTGTGCTGCAGTCCATGGGGTTGCAGAGTCGGACGTGACTGAGCAACTGAACAAAGGAAGTTCACAACAGAAGGAAGAAACAAGAAATAGAAAATCTATGTTAATCCAAAGAATGTTCAAACTACCACACAATTGCACTCATCTCACATGCAAGTAAAGTAATGCCCAAAATTTTCCAAGCCAGGTTTCAATAGTACATGAACTGTGAACTTCCAGATGTTCAAACTGGATTTAGAAAAGGCAGAGGAACCAGGGATCAAATTGCCAACATCCACTGAATCATAGAACAAGCAAGAGAATTCCAGAAAAACATCTTCTTCTGTTTTATTGATTACTTCAAAGCCTTTGACTCTGTAGATCACAACAAACTGTGGAAAATTCAAGAGATGGGCATACCAGACCACCTTAACTGCCTCCTGAGAAATCTGTATGCAGGTCAAGAAGCAACAGTTAGAACCAGACGTGGAACAGCAGACTGGTTCCAAATTGGGAAAGGAGGTATATTGTCAAGGCTGTATATTGTCACCCTATTTATTTAACTTATATGCAGAGTACATCATGAGATTGCTGGGAGAAATATCAATAACCTCAGATATGCAGATGACACCATCCTTATGGCAGAAAGTGAAGAGGAACTAAAGAGCCTCTTGATGAAAGGGAAAGAAGAGAGTGAAAAGATGGCTTACAACTCAACATTAAAAAAAGTAAGATCATGGCATCTGGTCCCATCACTTCATGGCAAATAGACGGGAAAGCAATGGAAACAGTGACAGATTTCATTTTCTTGGGCTCCAAAATCACTGCAGATGGTGTCTGCAGCCATAAAATTAAGACACTTGCTCCTTGGAAGAAAAGCTTTGAAAAACCTAGATGGCATATTAAAAAGCAGAGACATTACTTTTCCTACAAAGGTCCATCTAGTCAAAGCTATGGCTTTTCCATTAGTCATGTTTGGATGTGAGAGTTGGACTATAAAAAAAGCTGAGTGCCAAAGAATTGATGCTTTTGTACTGTGGTGTTGGAGAAGACTCTTGAGAGTCCCTTGGACTGCAAGGAGATCAAACCAGTCAATCCCGAAGGAAATCAGTCCTGAATATTCATTGGAAGGACTGATGCTGAAACTGAAACTCCAATACTTTGGCCACCTGATGTGAAGAACTGACTCACTGGAAAGACCCTGATGCTGGGAAAGATTGAAGGCAGGAAGAGAGGGGGACGACAGAGGATGAGATGGTTGGATGGCATCGCTGACTCAATGGACGGGAGTTTGAGCAAGCTCCAGGAGTTGGTGATGGACAGGGAAGCCTGGCGTTCATGGGGTCACAAAGAGTTGGACACGACTGAAGCAACTCAGCATTCATGGAAAAGCAGAAGTGGGGGAGAGGGTCAAGAGAGGGTAAGAAACTTGACTAGGGGACTTCCCTGGTTGCCTGCTGGTTAAGACGCCACCTTCCAATGCAGAGTGTGTGGGTTCAATCCCTGGTCACACATGCCTCACAGCCAAAACACCAGAACATAAATAACAGAAACAATATTGTAACAAATTCAGTAAGAATTCAAAAAGGAAAGAAACCTAGACTAAGTGTTCTAAGTACATCACAGATGTAATCTTATCTTACTGTTACTGCAGCCCTCTGGGGTATATATTATTATTTCCATTTTACAGATGCATGCCCAGGTTCTTGCTATATCTATTGATAATAACTGTGGCTAACCTTGGTTACATGCTTATGTGCCAGCCACTTTACAGATTACCTCTTAATCCTTATAAGAACATAGGAATTAGATATTATTATTACTTCCATTTTCCAGATGAGAAAATCAAGGCAAGGAGAAGTCCTGTAACTTGCCCAAGGGCACACAGCCAGAAAATGCTGGGAGCCAGGATGCAAAACCAGGCAGTCTGTTTACAGAGTCCATAATTGTAATCACCATGGGTAACAGACTCTAAAAAGCCAGTCAGAGTTAAGAGAAAAATAGAGGGAAGATACACTTACAAAGATGGAGAAATGATTATTTAAAAGGAAAGAAAGAAGGATAGCAATGAGGAGGGAAAACGTCATCCCGAAAGGGAATTTGAATGTTTAATTTTTAGAGATCAGAGAGGCTTTATTGATGATTTTAGTAATAATGAAGATGGCAGTAACAAAGTGAACATTTATTGGAAGCCTTTCTATGTGCCTTTATATCTATTTTCTCATTGAATTTTCAGAATAATTCATTTGTCTGTATTGAAATTGAAGGACCTAAGTACAGAGTAGCAGCTCAATAAATATGACTTTTGTGGTTTCACTTTTAGGAAACTCTAGGTCATAGGGCTAAATTCTAGGAAGCTCAGCTTCTATGACGCCAGTGTTTTATTACCGCCCAGCATTTATCTGTCTGAAATTATCCTGTTTATTTCTTTGCTGTTTATTATCTCTTCTCTCACTGTTAGCATGTAAACTCGAGGCGAGCAGAGCCTCACTCATGCTGTTTCAGCACTTACAGCATCCGGAACAGTGCCTTGCAGTTAGAAGGCGGTTGACACACACTTGCCGTGTGAATGAAGAGAACCCAGAGCCGAGCTCTTGGGACAACTCTCCTTCCACAACAGCACAGTGGACTGCAGAGCAGGCACGTCCTCTGCTCAGGTGATTGCAAGCATCTTCCTTTCTGTGCCCATTTTCAATGAGCATCCACACACTTTCTCTGTCACTCACCTGTCACTCACTCAACTGTTCATTTCCCCAGGTTTAGTTTCGGAGCAAAGCAAGAAAAGAAACTGCTTGCTTGTTCTGTTTTCAGTGCATAAACAGAGATCTTCACAAAGGTTATCAAACCATCTATGCCTGAAAATGACTCTTTCACCACATACCCGTTAGGATGTGTCTACTACAAAAGAACAAGCAAACAAACAAACACGTTGGAATCCCTGTATACTGTTGATGGGAATGTAAATGGTGCAGCTGCTATGGAAACCAGTGTGGCATTCCTTGGAAAATTATGACCATATGCTCTAGCCATCTCATTTCTGAGTATATACCCTAAAGAATCTCAAGTAGCTATTTGTACACCCATGTTCATAGCAGCATTACTCACAGCAGCCAAAAGGTGGCAGCAACTTAAGAGTCCATCAACAAATAGCTGGGTAAACAAAATCTGGTATATACACACAGTGGAATATTATTCAGCCTTAAAAAGGAAATTATGACACATGCTACAATATGGATGAATCTTGGCGACACCATGCTAAATGAAATAAGCTGCTAACAAACACACAAATACTGTATGATTCCACTTATATGAGGCCCCTAGAATAGTCAAATTCAAAGAGTCAGAAGGTGAATGGTGGTTGCCAAGAAAATGGGTACAGAGCTTTGCAAGATGAAAAGAGTTTGGAGATTGGTTGCACAACAATATGAATATACCTAACACTCTGAACTGTACTATTAAAAATGGTTAAGATGGTAAATTTTGTCATGTGCATTTTTCACACTTAAAAAAGGATGAGTGGAGAAAAAGGATGACTTTTGGTAGTATGGCATATGCCTCATTCTAAAGGAGCAAGATCCTAAAGTGAAGGACTCAGTGAATTCAAATGAAAATGCAAAGTCCCTGTGAAGGAACAGAGGTGGAAGTCTAAGAAGAGCTACCACTATAAACAACCTGCATCAGAGACAAGGAGGGTTAAGCGCAAGCTCTTGGTTTTGGGTTCCTGAGGGTCAGGGTTGCAAATAACACTTTCTTTGATGACTTTTTAGTATAATGTACATTCTTAAGCATTTTACACAAATCTTTATAGAGTCAGGCGTGTGATTAAATAAGGTTGTGATGATGCTGCTGCTCTGAAGTGTCTCTTGTTGCATCCTGCCAACACTCACCTGTCCACACGCAGCTGGCAGACGATGCTCAGCACGTCCACCACGCCTTCTTCTCTCAACTGCCGACAGCCAATGGATGTAGCAATAAAACACCCCGTCCTGCCAATCCCTGCACTGCAAAGGACAGACAGTGAATTAAAAGGTGCAGGGAAAATAGCAGAGATAAAATATATTCTTTTAACATTGAAAACAATCATTAGGAACAACAATAATAATTATGATAACAGCAGCTGCTTTCGTGTACTGAGTGTACAAACCTGGCCCTCTGCTCAGCGCTGCAACAGCATCCTTCCTTTTAGGTCTAAGAAGTAGGATGAATGGGATGGAGGGAGGTGGTGGGTGGAAAGAATAGTGAAAAAGGTAGCAGCTGTTCTACAAAGAAGAATTAGGGCCTGAAATTCAGTAAGGTATGGGCAGTAGCAAGGAGGGGAAAGATCTACATACATCACAGAAGTGAGCACGGAGGAGTGGAGCTGAAGAGTGAGAAAATCAAAAAGTCAAAGGTGACTCGCCCGGAGGACTGGAAGAAGGGCAGCATCATTGAGATGCAGTGGGAGGTCTGGAATGAGGTCTGATTTGAGGAAGAGAGTGGGGGCTTTGATCCTGGATATAAAAATGTGGCTGGGGCTTCCCTGGTGCCTCAGATGGTAAAGAATCTGCCTGCAATGCAGGAGACCCAGGTTCGATCCCTGGGTCAGGAAGATACCCTGGAGAAGAGAATGGCAACCCACGCCAGTATTCTTGCCTGGCGAATTCCACAGAGGCGGCTGGTGAGCTATAGTCCATGGGGTCGCAAAGAGTTGGAAAAGACTGAGTGACTAGCACATACACACACTGATGTGAAAGATGTTAGTGAGTAGCTGAAGATTCAGTTCAGTTTAGGAGAGAGGATGTGGCTAAAGGCATATTTTCCAAGTCTTTTTTTGTTTTTTAAATCAAGGTAACAGCTGAACAGAAATATTACCTGTCATGGAAGGTTTACTCATGAATCTCTTTAGATGGCAAATTATCAACTTTACAAACTTTCTCTGTCTGTCTCTTTCTCTCTTTCAGCAATTTCAACCATCTTTATGTAAATTTCTCCCAAATCTACACTTAAGTTCCCCAAGTTCCTCCTAAACTCTAGATTAGCATTCCACCTCCTAGCTGGCACTTCTGCTGTTGCTATTTTACACTTGCTGCAGTTCAGTGTCTCTAAATTCAATGTATCTAAAACAGAATTAATTATCTTTTTCCTCAATGGCATTACCAAGCAGCCACAAGTTTTCCAGCCTAGAAATCTTGGAGCCATCTTCAACATCTCCCCCTCTCTCACTTCCCACATCCAGTCTGTTACCAATTCTTATGTTTTCCACCTCCACTGAGATTTTGGGATCCATGCTTTTCTTTCTATAAACTGTGCTCACGTTTTTGAAATCTTACTTCATGATTAACGATGATCTCATCATGGTTTCCAAGTCTCAAGACTCTTCCTGGGCTAATTCATGATATACACAGTTGCTAGGTTCATCTTTCTGAAATAGGATCCTGATCATATTACTTGATACTCAAAAACCATAGGGGCCTCCCAGGTGCCTCAGTGGTAAAGAATCCACCTGCCAATGCAGGTGATGCAGGAGACACAGTTTCAGTCCCTGGGTCAGGAAGATCCTCTGGAGCAGGAAATGGCAATCTTCTCCACTATTCTTTCCTGAAAAATTCCATGGACAGTGCAGTCTGGAGGGCTATAGCCCAAAGGGTCACAATGAGTTGGACATGACTGAATATGCCTAAGCACCAGCAAAAACTGCAGATGGTCACAGTACAATGTCTAAGCATGCTTCCATGGTATTCACGCCTTACATAATACGACTGGATGAACTTTCAAGCTTTTTGTCTTTGTGCTGTTGACTTTGTATCCTTTGTGTCATTGTTTTCATTTGAATCTTTGCAAAAGAAACCTTTTCTTTTTGAATTTTCCTTTTTGAGTTAATGATATTTCTCCAGTCAGAAATGCCCACCCTACCACTTTTTAAAACCACAAACATTGGTCCTTTTTTCAAGATCCTATTCAGCATTAGTCCAACTTTTAGAGACTTTCTTCAAATCTCATAGTTTGAGTGAATAGCTCCCCTTTCAGCACTCAAATATGGGCTTCCCTGATGACTCAGTGATAAAGAATCCTCCTGCCAATGCAGGAGACATGGGTTTGATTCCTGGGTTGGGGAGATGCAAGGATATGGCAACCCACTTGAATGTTCTTGCCTGGGAAATCTCATTGCAGGGGACCCTGGTGGGCTACAGTCCATGGGGTCCCAAAGAGTTGGACACAACTTAGCGAATGAACAACAACAACAGCAGCAGTCAAATAGCAATTATTTCTCGGACTTGGCACTTGTTTCCTGTTGAATATGAGTACAGAGGAATTCAGAGGAGGAATGCATCCCCTTTAGTGTAAGTGTCTATAGAGAGTTTGTGTCAATAAAAAGATAGTACTTGAACTGTACCTTGTGAATGGCACGCATTTTGGTTATCACCAATGTGAGAGAATGTCCCATAGGTGAGACTGGTATAGGGAAAAATTTGCAGCAGAACAGAAAATAAGATGTGTGACAATGAGTAGACTAGTTTGGCTAGAAAGAGAAAGTAAGGTTAGAGGAATAGTGGGAAAGAAGGCTGGGAAGGTACAGTGGAATCTATAAAGGATTATGGAAAGCTAAGAACTTTGGACTTCATCCTGTAAAAGAATTGTACTCTTTGTTTTTTTTGTTGTTTTTTTTTTGAGAATATGTTGAAAGCAATGAGTTTTCACTCCCCAGAAAATTCACTTAACTTAATGTACTCAAATCTGTTCAAGTCATTTTAAGTTCACTGGCCCCTGTAGCTAACCCACAAATCCAAGACTAAGGAATTTTGCTCTAGGCAATGGGAAGCCTGTGTGAAGCTTTGAGCAGAGACTCCATGTGATGAAAGAGGGTTTTAGGCACATCATCCAAGAGAAGTGCACAGAATAGACTGTGGTGGGGGTGGAGCATGGGGAAGTGGGGTGTGTATGTGCAATTAGCTGACTTCTAAAATACATGGATGAGGTCATAAGGGCCTGAACTTGGGTGGTTGGGCAGGAAGTGATGATTATGGGAGAAGCTTTGAAGGGAAAGCCAATCTGGTTACTGATTAGATACTGAGGCTGGAATTGAGAAAAGGGCCAAAGATAACTGTCAACATTTGATGTTGAGTGGCTGGAAAAAAGACGGTCTCATTCTTAGAAATAGCAATCAGAAGGGGAGCTGGTTTTAGAGGGGAAATGGTTAGTTCATTTTAGATATCCTGACTGTTTTATGATTTTGGGTGGGGGACGGTTCCAGCTCTAGAGTATGGTCAGTTAGATATTTGTCTTCAGACCCAAGTTAAGTTTAGGATAAGGCCTAATGTTAGAAACTAGATAGTGACACATTGGGCAAGTAGACACACAGTAACTTTTACTCTTAATTAAACCACAAAGGTTCAAAACAAGGCTAAAATAATAATTTAAAGCAATACACTTTGGTTATTAAAAGTATCACCAAAATCTATCTTATAAGACTTAAGGGGATCAATAAAGTAATGCAAATTGTTTTGAGAAAGCATGGAGAATAAATGACCAGTTATATAGATGACTTTAACATTTGTACTTTGCTTTGGGCACACTAACAGGAAAACAGGGGGGAGAGGTATAAGTTAAAGGATAAGAGCTTTAAACTGGACCGAGTCAAGGGAGCCACTGAACATCGGCCTGGCCTCTTGTCAGCCCATCCTCCAGGACCGCATGTTCTGCTACCAGCACTTTGTTTTCCTCATGGTGAGTTACCACTTGCCATTCACCATTTCATAAATTTATTTCCATCTGCTTTTCATGAGGTAACTTTTAGAACAGTTGACTGGTTTTCACCAAATTTGGCATAATAATAAAAAATGTTATCAAGATACAATCCTAGTAAAGTTCAGGGGCATCTCAAAACAAGGAAAAAAAGTTGATAATTAAAAAAATCAGTCTCCTCATGAGATTGATGAGACTAAATGAATCCACCTACATTTCAAGGTAGAGGACTGAATGAATAAGAGCTCCTGCTCCCTGAGTGCTTCATTAGGGAAATTTTCTCCACTGTATGACTGCTAAAAATATGCTAGTAAAGGCACTTCATTTCTGACAAGTATCATTGTGGTCAAGAATCAAGGGGGAGGCCCATTAGTTTCAATATCTGTTCCATTTACCAGCAAAGTCAGAACCAGGGAGTCAAACCCAGCTCCCACCTGCTGCATGACTTTACAAAGAATAGACGGTTGCTGAGGCAAAAGGTCAGCTCACCCCTTACCTGCAGTGGACCACCACAGGCCCTCGGCCCGCGGAGGCCAGTCTGTCTTCTTCCACGTCCAGCATGAGCTGCAGAAGGGGCTGGGCACTGTCTGGAGTCTTGTGATCGGGCCATGAGGTGTACCAGTAATGTTTCACACGTTGGGTGTGACTTCCTTGCTGAAAATAGAAACAGCCACCAAGCGCTTCGTTTACTTGTGGAACAAAGAGTCATCCAAACCACAATACTAAACGCTTTCTATCACTGCCATCTTGCTTGCTCCTCACTTCCAGGTGGTAATAAAATCTAGGAGACTTTTGAAGAATATTCTTTCAACCTGAGAAAAATTTACTGTAAATATGCTGATGTCAAAATCTGACAGTCTTGCATCAATTAAATGAGAAATATATATATATGATATATATTTAATATAGAAAACATACATATGTTTGTAATTTATGATCATGAACATAATGGTAGATGAATAAATGGCCAAGAAAGAATTGGGATATAGTGTGTTTCCTGTTCTTTGAATGTTCCTGACAGGTTATTATAAACATATTGACCAGTATAAGAATGCTTAATTTTATACTCAGTCACTCTAATGACTCTACACTCACCCTAAATACCAGTGTTTAACAGCAGTGAGGAACCCCTGTAGGAAAGGAGTCACAAATGAGGGTCCATGCAGTCATCTCAAAACCATGCTGGGGCCCGGTATAGACTAGACACTAGAGAATACATGTTGAAGAACAGGTTTCTCCAAGTGCCTTCCTATCATGAATTTCCTACCAAAACCCATCAGTGCAGCTCTGTCTCTCTTTTTCTTTGTGATGATTCTGTCCCAGCAGTGGGGTTCTAGATAGAACTGGAATCTTTGGGATGATTGCTCTCTAGAAGTAAAAACAATACCAACAATACCATGGCAACATCCCTCGGCATTTGCTGTCCAAAATTTAAATAAGATAAATTTTCTATGACATAATCTGGTCTGGGAAAGTCCCTATAAATGACTGTAACTCCAAGTTTTGGAAGATCTCAACAACACTTCAGGCTTTTCTTGCCTCCCACAACCACCCACAAGTACAGATTTTCCCTTTCACAGTTTCCAGGCCTTACTTAAATCTGCTGAGACAAAGTGACATTAAAAAAAGAAATCATGGTAACATCTCCAGCACAAGCCTTTAGTCCTTTAGTTAAAGGTGTTCAAAAGGTTAAATCAGAGGAGTTATATGTATGCAGATTAAAAGACCATAGTACCCTACTAAGTAGATTTCTTTAATGTCTACTTAAATTAATTATTCCAGAGTGATAGTAGCTGACAACAAAATACATAAGAGAGTGATTATCATGTCCCCTTGATCTTGACATTATTTAACTTGTTTAAATTGAATCTTCAGTTCTGAGGACAAAAAAGTTCAAAATAAAAATGCAGTCCTCTAACACCTTCCACTTTGTAGACTGCTACAGCTCCACATTCTTACCTTTAAGACAAGGTTTCGAACAGTATAGTTATCGCATTCATTTACACTGATAACCAGAACCTCAACTTTTCCATATATTCCTCTCTTTTCTGGCCAATAAAGCACACATTTCTGGAGGAGGGGAAAGAAGAACACAGCAAATATTAATGGTTTTCATTGGCCTTGAAGCATTTTTCATTCAAGCATCTTAAAAGTTTCTATTTAGTTAAATAAAATAAATCAAGTATCAATTTTAAACATTCTGTAAATGAGCTAAAACCACCAAACTATACATTTTAAATGGGTAAACTTTATAGTATATATATATATGCATGTGGTGTTGTTGTGTTCAACTCTTTGCAGCCCCATGTACTGTAACCCACCAGATTCCTCTGTCCATGGGATTTTCCAGGCAAGAATACTGAAGTGGGTTGCCATTTCCTCCTCCAGGGGATCTTCCCAACCCAGGGATAGAACCCATATTTCTTCTGTCTCCTTCATTGGCAGGACGGTTTGTTTGTTCACCACTAGTGCCACCTGGGAAGCCCATAGTATGTATAGTATAAATTACACGTCAATCAAGTTTTTTTTTTTAAACCAACACTATTGCTGTTAATCCCATAAAAAAAATAATTAAGGCAAAATTTCTCAAATCCCCAAGAGAAATTAAGGGCTAATTCAGAACTGAATTAAGAATTAGGAAACTAAGATCCAAATATTAGAGTTTATCATGCGATGAACAAGGTGGAAAAAAAATGTTCTCCCACTATGATTGAGGCAAGTCACATTTCCTTGTGCTGGCTCAGATGGTAAAGAATCTGCCTGCGGTACAGAAGACAAGGGCTCAGTCCCTGGATTGAGAAGATCCCCTGGAGAAGGGAATGGCTACCCACTCCAGTATTCTTACCCAGAGAATTCCATGGACAGAGGAGCCTGGCGGGCTACAGTCCATGGGGTCACAACGAGTGGGACACAGCTGAGTGACCAACACTTTCACATTTTCACACATTTCCTGCTTCATCAAACTAATGTCTCTAGTAAGAGTATCTGTAATGTGTTAGATGCCACAGAATGCAGTCTCTCCTGTATGTAAAGTAGACATAATGGCCATTAATATACCTGTGATATTGTATTTTCCAGGACCAATTTTCTTTTCACCTATGGGATCCTTTGAAATAAATGTGTAGCAAAATTATTTTAAAAATTTGTATGAAGGATCCTCTTTGAAGGGTTTAATAGCAGTAATAACAATTATATTGCAAACAAGAAAACATAATATGATGGATAAGGTGCAAGCTTTGGAGTCAAAGAGCCTGGGACCAACTTTTGGTGCTACCATTTATCTGTGAGTCCATAAACAGGAAACATAAGCTCTCTCTGGCCTCAGTTTCCTCAAGATTTAATACATGGAAAGCACTTAGGACAAAGCCAGGAATACAGTAAGCATTCAAAACTTGATATTATTATTATTGTTATTGTATTTTACAACTACTGGATCATGGAATGGGTTTTTGATCTACAGTGATTCGATCATTACTTAAATATGCATTATATCATGCGTCAAACATATTATTTTTATGACATCATCACATTATTTAAAAAACTACAAAATGAGTTTCAAACATACATATAAACTCATATTATTTATTCTTTTGCCTTTTAAACAACCACAAAAGAACTATTACTTCTTTACCACATATTTTAATGTCTAAGAATAAAGGTGTGAAAGTTAATGCTTTATCTTCAGTGCCCAGGGAAGTAATTTAATTTTAGAAATATTGTTTAAATAGAATTCATCATTTTCTTTCAAACACACATGGATATTGATAAAGAAATTCTTTCACTTATTGCCTTCGGTTAGGGACCTTTCAGTCCTCAGGACACTTGTTTCTTTACATCTATGTCAAAGACATATGACCACACTTAAAAATAGTTAAGTTCTTATAGATTTAAAAGAGCAACAGCAAAAAAATTACAGAGTTACAGAACTAAAGGAAAAGACATGTAACATATCAGAAACACACCTCTGGGGCTCTATCATGCTAAGTACCAAATGCTCTATGTGACAGAGCCACAAGGAAGTCACTTCATCTAGTGGAACCACTGTTTTTCATCCACTACAATAAAAACACATTTGCCTCCTCTACATTCTGGTCCTTTTCCAAACAAAGTAAATCATTTTCACCTCTATTTCCATGCCATTCCATCCCCAAGACTATCAAGCAATAAGGCTATCAGGCTTAGTCTGGCTAATATAACATTAACATTTTAAAACAGAGAAACCTTCAGCAGAGGGAATTATACTCAAAATTTTGTAATACCCTGTAATGGAAAATAATCTAAAAAAGAATCATACATACATCTGTATAACTGAATCACCTTACTGTACATCTGAAACTAACACAGCAGTATAAATTAACTATATTTTAATAATTAAAAAAAAATAGCAATCTTTTAAAAAATAAAGCAATGTCTTTCCCTCCTCCTTTACAAATTGCCAAATGTCTGAAATTTCCCCGATTTGTTAAAGATAATCATACTAACCAAATTGCCTGGTTGCTTTCAATGGAGCATCAATTATTTCGCTGTAAGACCCGAGCTATTGTGTGACTTAAAACCCATGCCTCCTGGATGAATCCAAGAAGAGTGACAAAGAATCTTGCAAAAGGTATGGAACAAAGAAAGAGGCATTCAGTGGCCCAGCAGTCAGGCATATGTGCCCCATTGTCCAGGATCGGGCCTGAGTAGCAGGCCCCTCAGTGAGAAGGTGGCTCTTGAAACTGGTAAGAAAGACTGCCAGGCAGGAGCTCTCAGCTTGCACCCTGACTCTTAACAATACAGTCCAGGCTTGTGCACCTACTTGATAAATGGAAGCACTGCTTGCTTCTGTCCTGAGCTTGCCGGGGCCCTCCTGAATGTTTTTCTTGACTCTTTACCAAAAATGCAATTGGCAGCCGGCTCCTAGTAGACAATGTAATGTGACTTGTTCATTCAAACAACCCTTAATTAGCATCCCATCTCCTTTCTGAGATACAATAGCTTATTTTTATACACTGAATACATTTTCCCCCTCTTTAAGGAGGATGTAGAAAAAGGGACCAGATAAGTGTGGGTGCTTTTGAGTATGAGGTGAGAGAGAGCTGCAAATGTGGTTGTTTCTAAGGGCATCAGTTCACATTTGAATTATTTTTGTGAGCAGCTTTTTCGGGTTTTTTCATTGTGGTGTTAACAATGATATGAAAAAGGAAAATGCAAGGAAGGAAAATGCTCTCTTAAAGATAATATTGTGAAATCACACTAATTGTGGGTAATTCAAAATAGCACGCTATGTAGCAGAATATAACCCCAAATCATCACTATTCTGTTAGCTGGGCCGATTCTTTCAGTAAAATTATCTATTAATTCCAAGAATTCATAATTTGGAGGACAAAGAGGTTTCCAGAAGGTTATGTGTCTCTTGTACAAACAAGTAATTAGTGAACCTTGACTGTAAAGATCCTGGACATCAACCAATTTTTCATCATCAGTGGTTTACAGCAAAAATAGAATGCAGTGCAAAGCAATGCAAACCCATGTTTTTATAATCTATTTTTTTTTCTTTGATCATCCCTCTCACTCTCACCACATTAGGGTTATTTGTGTATAAAAAAGAAGCAAGTCTAGCTAGTGTATTAGTTGCCTGAAAACAAAATCTATTTTTCAGTCACTTTCTTTTTAAATTCTATGCATTTAAAATCAAAGAGATTTTTGCTTTATGAGCTAAAGATGTATCATCACATAGGAAGGGGCTCTAAATAAACAAAGAGACACTTAGCTGCAGTTGGGTTATATTTGCATAAAAGAGAATGGATCAGATTGTCTAAAATTATTATGGTTTTAGTTACTCTAATTCTTAGTATTCCACCAAATATTACCAACATATTTGCAACAATTTAATATTAAAAGCATCTTCACCAAAATATATCATTGAATCCCTTCCATGATCATTTATGTTAAGTAGAACAGAGAGTAGATATTGTTATTGTTATTATTATATTTTTATAATTTTACAGCTAAGAATACTGAAGCTCAGGTGTTTTGGTAGGGGTCTCTGAGAACATCCTCTTGGAGCCAAAACCTTTTGAACAAATATCACTTTATAAACTCAAGCTTTTATGTTTGAATTTCTGCTCCAATAACCAACTCTTTCTATACCATTAACCAATACTCTTCCTTCCCTCTGTGAAATATGCTGATAATGGAACACTGAATGCCCTCCATCCACTCTCTTACTAAGTCCAGTACTTCTGTCACTGTCTGCTGAGCTGTATGTTAGTAAGTGGTGTTTGTATCCAAACCTCTTAAGGACAGCTGCATTCATTTAATGAAACTTTACATAAATTCATGAAACATAAGGGTAAGAAGAAAAAAAGAATTGTTCCATGAAATAATTGTGTGAGTTAATTAGGTTTTCATGCGGGGCGGGGATATGAATCAGTAAAGAAAACTGTATGCAAATCAGGTACAAACAAGACTTATGAAAGGGCAAAGTTTGGAAATATAGACAGAATTCTGCATTCATATGGTTTTATAAACTTTTCTATGTTCTCTCATTTTAAAGAAACTGAAATGGGACATTTTAATGATATATAAAGGGCAGGAATTACACAAACTACATCACCTGGAGCCAATATTAAAAATAATAAAAGACTGTCTCATAATAAAATAATGAACAAGTCTGAATAGGAACAACTGTACCTGTTTTAGGACAAAATAAAAGAGCTTTTTGCTGTGTTTGAGTCTCCACTCTGACGTTTTTGGATTATATGTGTCAAATAAGAGGGCTTCTAACTATAGCTAGAATAAAGCAAGTTACAGCAATTGAATGGAGAAGAGCTGAATTAAAAATTAGGGTGCCAAATTATATCTGGAATGGAAGCATGTTTGAAAGAACAGTGAGTAATTTTTCTTAGGGACTGCCAGCCTCAGAATTCCTGGCCACTCTTAATTGCTTGTGCAGCGTAACTGTCCAGCCCCCCGTCATTCAGGAAAAGAGCTGAGGCTGCTGGGCAGTGCTGGGCAGTGCTGGGTCAGGCTGCTTCTCTAGAAACCAAACATCTAATTCTGATCCTCCAGAACAGCTGAATACCAGT